TCTATCTGTGGAGCTCTTTGTCAGAGGATGTTGTGAAGGCCAGGACTTTAACAGGGCTTAAAAAAAAAGCAGGATAAATTCATGGATTTGCATGATTGGTTTAGCTTAGGACCATAGGTGAGAAAATCAAGGTTTCAAAAAAAATAATAGGCATAACCGCAGAAGCAAAATTGCCTTTCACCAAAGCAAGAGACTATAGGGCTACGTCTAGATTGCATCCCTTTTTCGTTAAAGGGATGCAAATTAGACGTATCACAATTGCTAATGAAGCAGGGATTTAAATCTCCCCCGCTTCATTAGCATAAAAATGGCTGCCGTTTTTTTTTGGCACGGAGCTTTGCCGGAAAAAAGTGCCAGTCTAGACGCGGATCTTTCGGAAAATAAAGCCTTTTCTGAAAGATTCCTTATCCCTTATTTTAAGAGGGATAAGGGATCTTTTGGAAAAGTCTTTATTTTCCGAAAGATCCGCGTCTAGACTGGTGCTTTTTTCCAGCAAAGCTCCGTGCCGAAAAAAAGCGTCAGCTATTTTTATGCTAATGAAGCGGGGGAGATTTAAATCCCTGCTTCATTAGCAATTGCGATATGTCTAATTTGCATCCCTTTTTACAAAAAAGGGATTCAGTCTAGATGTAGCTTAGAAGTTTAGCAATAGAAAATGCTGTAAATGGAATTTAATAGGAAATAGCATGGAAAATGGGGAAAGTGCTGCTGGCCAATGCAGTAGTGATTTTATGGAAGAGCAGCCAAATATGTCTGTTGTTCACCTCAACAAAAAAGTAAAGCAGGAGAGAGTGCAACTGTAGTAATAATGAACACTCTCACTGGTAAAACACTCTGTGCACTAGAGTCTCTCTGTATAGCTCCCGATTGGAAATTATAGGTGCATTAGTCTGGTGACACAAAGAAACTAAGATAAAACTCCCTTTATCACACTAGGAGACAATTATTTCAAGCAAAATGTTTAAAACCAAGGCTACATTTACACTACAGCCCAGATTGATGCTCTGAAAGATCAATCCACTGGTTGTCGATTTAGCGGATCTAGTGAAGACCTGCCAAATTGTCCACAGCTCACTCTCCAGTCGACCCTGTTATTTTACCCTGGATGAGAAGAGTAAGGGAATTCAATCGGGCTTTAAGTACCTGTTGTATACCTTGACTTTAGGTATGTTGACTCCAGTTATGTTATTTGCATAGCTGGAGTTACGAGACATAAGTTGACTTCTTGCTTTAGCGTAGAAGTAGCCTTACACTTCATCTTACATACAAACATTCCACTGATCTAACTAAATCGCTTTAGGGTTCCTTCCTGATTTCAGCTAAACTGAGATGAGGCACTCACAGTATCCAAAGGGGAGGCACCAATTTACTAAACTGGTTTCTAATTGGTTAGTTCAGTGCAACTTTTGTGTTCAGGCAAGGTCGAACACAACTTCCCACTAACTGCAGGACATAAGGCAGCATGCAGTATGAAGGGCTCTTTCAAAGATATTACATTGAATAATATAATACAATAAACTCTCTCTATATTTTAGTGTGTGTTTGTCTGTGAGTCCATTTGTTCAAGAACTCCTCCTAAACGATAAGAGCTAGGGCCACCAAATTTGATACGCAGCTTCCTCTCCTCCTAACTTAAAAGCGAGTTCAGGGTTTGGTTGTGCCAAGGCAACCAGAAGCCCCAGTAAAAGGACTGTTTTCCATAACATGCAAAAGGAGGGGCTGCTGTTCAAGGGACGCGATATGACAATGTCCACAGGGGACAGAGAGCACACAGGGGAGAGCTATACTGCAGAGTGGCCATTGGAGGCAACCATACCATCAAGGGAGTTGCCGGCAGGGCTGAGATGCCACCATCTTGCCTGTGAGCACACTGAGTAAGTAGTCCCACTTGGCTGCAGCACAGGAGGGGAGGAGAAAAAAGGCCCCTGGCAGCTGAGGGAGGCCTGGGAGGACAGAATACATCCCTGGCAGGTGGGGGAAACCCTCACCTTGAGCCCCTCCTCACCCCAATCCTCATTCTTGTAACCCCAAGCTTCCTGAACTCACCCCCTACATCCTCAAGATCCTGCCCTGAAGGACCCAGGCAATGCCGGGTAAGTCTGCTAGATATAATATAATACACTGGACAATATGCTGGAGAATTACATTTTCTGTTTTAAAGCTAGGAGATAAACACATCAGGCCTAATCTAAATTAATAATCAGTCCCAGATAAGGATGTTAAGAGGCAGGTAACTGACTAATCGCAGGGCCTGACTAAGGGGTGGGCGAGCAGGGCAGCTGCCAACTGATGGGGGGCGCCTGATGGCAGCTGTAAGGGGTGCGCGGCGTCCCTTATAGCTGCCATCAGGCGCCGTGCACCCGGCTCCCGCAGCGCCGGCCTCCCCGCATCCCTGCGGCGCTGGCCCGCAGCACCCTTCCCCCAGAGGTGGCCGGGCCGGGCTGGGCAGCGCATGCGCTGTGTGCCCCAGGGGTGGGCCCATGCACCCAAGGGGGGCGGGCCCATGCACCCTAGGGGGGCGGGCCCATACCCCATGATGGCACCGCATGCCCGGGCCCGGGGTGCCAAAATGGCTCAGGCCGGCCCTGACTAATCGTGTAGTCCATACAAGTTGTTGATAAGATGATTAGTTGATAAGGAAAGGTGCTCTGTACCAGCTCACGCCGGTCCAGGATATACCCTGCTGCGGCTCTGCAGTGTAAATGTTGTAGGAGCCAGGTGTGCAGGTGGCTCTCACTACATTTAAAATGCAGAGCTGCAGTGGTCCCAGACTGGCGCGAGCCCAGACTGCTTAGTCCCAGCTTGCACTGGGTCCAGCAGTCCCTGTTCGTGGTGGCCTGGGCTGGCAGTGGATAAAAGAGGGGCTACCGTGTGGCAGGGGTGGGAGGCGCAGATGGCAGAAGGGACTGGGGAGACTGTGGGGAGGGAAGTGGCTTTTAAGCTTGCTGCCCACAACACCGGCTCCTGTCCCATCCCCCTGACCCTTGTGGGGGGAAGCAAGTAGTTGTGTACTCGACTTGACTACCCAGTAAGCTTAGGCTTATCGGGTAATCAAGTACACAGCTACCGTATTTTCCGGCGTATAAGACGACTTTTTATGCGGCTTTGCTCCCGGTGCCTCTGGTCCCTGCCCAAGGTTTGTGGAAGGCTGGAGAGAGATGGCACGAGACAAATGGCTTGGTCACTGTCTTCGGTCCATCCCCTCCAGGGTTCCTAGGGTTGGCTGCTGTCGGCAGACAGGCTACTGGGCTAGATGGACCTTTGGTCTGACCCAGGACGGCCATTGTAAGCTCAGGGCTCAGGGTCGGG